TGCGAGATTCGCGCGAAAACTTGAAAAATATGAAACGCGCGCACGATGGACTTGTCAAATCTGTTTTCTACGTCTCGCGATTCTCTTTTCTCTTTGTCCTTTCGAAAAGCGAGGGAAGGAAGATATGAATGCATCTGCAAAGGACGACGCTCGACTTCTTACGAACCTGAGCAAATCCTAAGAAGGGAATCGCAGAGAGACGAGGTTATGTGTACGACGCAAACCAAGGGCGCCGGCATTTTCGAGGACCGCTCGGGCTTGATTAAAGCCGAATTACGCGACGAATCGCAGCGGCGCGCGATATCGCGTTTGATCGATTCGAGCTAAATTCTGTCACGTATCGGGATGTAACACGTAGGAGTATAAAAGTCGCTCAAATCGAACGAGGATCTCCTCATTCAAAATTTTAAAGATGGCTGATAATTCGAACGATTTTTCCCTACATCTGCGAGAATCGTTTAACGAAGTGTACTTAATAACGCCGCGACGAACGCCCGATCGTGGAAGTCCCGTGGAATTTTTTTTTTCGCGCGAATCGCAGTCTTATAGGATCGCGTCTTATACGGTTCGTCGTCAGTCGTGTCCTGGCCCTTATTGGCTCCGATACCAGCGTCGACAAAATTACAGCGCAATAATACCGACCGCGTAGGCGCCGGGTTTGACCGAAGAGAGAGAAAGCAAATTGAATCAAGACGGTGGACCGGCCGTTTAATACCGCCGATCGGCCGATCTTTGCGATTCGTCCCGCGATCCGTGAATTATCGGCCACGATTGGCTCCGCGCTTGGATCCCCGACGGGCTTTTAACTTCAACCGTTCGACCCGCTCTCGAAAAACGGCTCAGTTTGCGTGGTGGACGCGCGAGAGAGCCAAACGTGAGACGAGGTGAGGTGAGGTGAGGCGAGACGAGGCGAGGCGAGACGAAACGAGACGGGACGAGATGGGACGGGAGGACGAGAGGACAGGACGGGACGGGACGGGACGAGACGGAACGGGACGAGACGAGACGAGACGAGACGAGACGAAGTGAGGCGAGGCGAAAACAACGGCGGCGACGACGACAAGGCGATGGCTCGGGTCGTCGAGGCCTGCCTGCTTGCTTGCCTGCCTGCTTTCCTCTTTTCCTCCCTCAGCCCTCCCAGCCGCCACCCAGTCTCCTCGCGACGTCCAGCCAGAGAGACTTGGAGGTTACACACGGCAAGTAATCGATTTACCAACTCCAACAACGCACTCGTCGAGATCGCAGCGAGAGACGATGTCCCGGCGACGTTCTCCGACGACGCGCGCGACTCACTTGTTTTCTTCCTTTTTTTCCTCTGACTCCTTTTACGTCCTCCTTTTCTTCGCTCTTCCCTCGTTCCGGCGGCCGCCGGTCTTTCGCGCTCTCGCGAAAACGACGCGATTACGAAGAAAAGTACGCGCGACGACAGGGGATCAGGCCGCTCCGGGTTCTTTTCCCTCCGCACCGCTTCCGTTTTCTTCCCCCGCACGCGGTATGTCTTTTTCTCCGTCTTCCGCTCTGGTTCGCTCCGCCGTCCCTTCGCCTCCTTCTCTCTGTTCTTTCGTACACGCGTGGCAAGCAGCGCACTTCCTAATACGTTCCTGTCTCTTTTCGTCGCGCGCGCGCCCGAGCGACCGTTTCTCTTGCTCGCCCTCACGAGGCGAAGGCTGGTCGAAGCGGCGACACGCGCTCGTGAAATTTCGTGACTCCGGAGCGAGCAGCACGCGCCGTTCACCGCATCTCTCGTCGCATATGATAGACGCGGACAAAACTTCCTTCCCTCTCGCACCTTCCTCTCCTATCTCTTCCCTCTCTCTCTCTTTATCGGTCGGTCCTCTCTTACGATCTCTCGCCTTCGCCGTCCTTCTCCCTCACGGCATAGCGCGCCTCGTTTATCGGAAGAAAGGAGGAAAAACTCATCTGGAAGATGGCCGCCGCCTGCCAGTCACCGATTTCGCCCTCTCTCGCATGGCGCACTCTTTCGCGACGGCGACGGGGGCCACCGCAAGCCACCCGGGGAGGCCGCGGTTCACCGCGGTCACGATGCACCGGGTCGTTAACTGCGACCCTGAGAGACGCGGGGGGATGGGGAAGACGATCACCCGACGTACACACGACGATCACACAACGATGACGGTGACAACGATGACAACGGCGGCGACGACGACGACGATGACACAAGGAACGATGACACGGGCGAAATCCGCGAAATCCTAGATGCCGGTAACGCGCGCGCGTGTCGGCCGCACTCTCGCTCGCTGGCCCGACAGTATTCGTACTAAAAAGCTCACCTCGGCAGGAACCGTAACGCACTCTCTTCTCGATACACAGAAGCGCAAACACGGAGGCAACACTCTCGTGACATGTACACACACACATGCACACTCCCGCGACGACGTGGTAGCGTAGCGTAGCACGCGCAAGCGAGCAAGCGCGCGCGCGCGCGCACGCGGCCTCGTACGTGTACACACTGCACTGCACCGCGCGTCACGGCACAGCACGGCACGGCACGGCACGGCACGGCGCGGAACAGAGCGGAGCAACGACGACGGTTCCGCGGACACACGCGCGCGCGAAGAGACACGCGGTCTTTTAAAAAAAGGCGACGCGGCGCCGCGTCCCTTGGCGCTTTACATATATATGTTTCCTTTTCTCTCTCTCTTTTTCTCACTCGCGGCCAAATCCGCGATTTGCGCGCGCGCGCGCGCGCGCGAGGCCAACGTAACGCGATGCCCGAATTCCTCACGAGGTAAACGCGCGGAGCCCGTCTGTGGATGTGGACGTCTCTCGCTACACTCACACGACTCACGAACGTTGCGACGCGGAAATTTTAACAGCGACGACGGCGGCGGCGGCGACGGCAACGGCAACGACGACGACGACAGTGACGTTGCCAGTCACACACCATGGCGTTCGCACACGACCTCCTCTGTCTCGCTCCCGCAACCCGCAAGCCGAGCGGCACCTTACGGCTCTTCGGCTATTATCGGTGAGCTACGATGTTTATTCGGCGGCGCATCGGCCGACCAGTCACGGCTCGCGGCGAGATCATCCCCGGTTCTCGCTTTCGTTTCCCTACTAGCCGTCGCCGCGCCGCGCGCCGTTCCGCCCGTTCCACTCCTGCCGCATCGTCCCATCGCGCCGAAGGGTATGATTTTTAAGGCGCGCTCACACTGGTCAAACACGCAAATGTCGCAAATCAGGCCTGTCTAACCTGCGGCCCGCGGGCCACTCGTGGCTCTTTCCCCCGCCACGGAGCTCGAGCTCGACTCCCCCCACTCTTCCAGTTGGTTTCCTGACTCTTTCCATATTTGACACGTATTCCTAGTTCTAGCGGATATAGCATCTAGCATCTTAGCTTGCTTATGAGCTTACTGTTCTCACGTTACGACGTGTATGCACAGTACAACTTAAAGGCTTAAACCATATTATTAAAACTGAATAATATTTCAATAAGTTATTTATTGATCGGCCTGACTGGCAATAATTGATTAATGTTAAACGACGTTTTGATCTCTAATTTGGGTCTCCTTATCAAATTACATTTAATGCTGGAACAAAATAAATTGCCGGTAACAAATATAAAATGGAAACAATAATGCAAATTACATATTCAACTTACATGGATCATTATGCGTCAAAAGTTATAAATTACTATAGTCATCGTTAAAACTTGTGTAACGGGGCGATAGAACAAAGGAATGTAAACTCATACACTTTTTGTTTTATTCGTTGACTGCGCTTGACTAAAGGTCAATCCAGACAAACTTGCATAGCGCATAAACATAAGCATAAAAGAATTGATTGGTCCATACGCATGTGCATAAGGAAATAGACCAATCCGTTTCGTTATGCGCATGGTTATGCACCTATGCAAGTTTGTGTGGATATAGCTTTACAGAGTTTATTGTGGAATTTATTTTTAATTTACACTTTTTGTTTTACTCGTTGACTGCACCTATTTGGCTCATAGTTTTTATTTTCTATTTACACTTTTGGTTCACGCGTTACCTGCTCCGATTTGATTCATTTTTATGTATTATTGTCGTGAATTTAGACTGCGCCTGATTGAATTATGTAGATCAACTTCGTCGAATTTTATGTATTATCTTCGGGACCATCATGTATTTTCTTTACGCTGAAGATGACACAAAAAAGTGTCGAAACGTCCGTTTTTATTATAATATATTTATTGTTACGATAATTTGATTGCGCATTAATTACCGCGTTTGGTTCCTATTGCCTCCTTATTTCCTTTACTTATTGATTTATTCAGGAAAGCCTACTTTTATTTAATTTATATTATATATTATATTCTGAAAAAGTCGCATATATATACCGAGATATCACCATCAATACCATACTCAGTTATATTGCTTTATGCGTAAATAAGAATATGACACGCACTTGTGCTCTGTATGCGTATTCTTAGTTACGCATAAAGCCATCGAATATAGCTATTCTACTTCTACTCATGCTGCGAGAAACCGCTGCCCCGATACTACTGGATGGTGGGGGAAGTCTGAAGTGGTAAGAGTGGGAGCAGTGGCTCCTTCGCTTCGAGCAGTTAGACAGGCCTGTCGCAAATGATTGAAATCCGCGGAAGTCGTAAAGTGAGTAAAGTAGCAGTCTGTTGGCAGATTGGTAACAGATTTGATCAGACATGTCAGACGGTTCATCTTCCCTCTTTTTCTTCTCACATTGAAGAAAAAAGATGAACTGTGCAAGAAGTTCAGCTAAAAAGAACACAAGAACAGGCCTTATGTTAGCAGACTCTGCTGGCAGAACATAAACTGAATGCGGACGCAGTACGCAATTGATGTCGATCTGCTTACATGTCCGATCAAATCTGTTACCGATATTTACGCCGATACGTTGCGTAAATTATCGGCAATTAAAAAACCTGCGCCGCTCTGTATCTCGATAAAAACAAATATCGTGGATCTCTACAACGTGATTAACGATAATCTGCCGCTGCAAAAAGAACCCGAGAACGCACATTCAGAATTAGATATTATTTCTTTTAATATTTTGACGAATGGTGGTACTCTACAGTCATAGGATACAATACAGTACAGTACAATAAGTCGTTTCTCAGATCGTGACACTCCGTTCTCCTTACATTTTCGTAAGCTGTACAAACTTGCGTTTTATAAATATATAGAAAACATATTCAGTTATATCCAATGTGGGCGGGAGAAGGAGGGTCTTAAATAACTTCTTGCGATAATATAATCACATCTAAAGCTGTGCAAAGGGATCGTCGAATTTTCTGCTTTTATCATTTTTGTTTCGATCGGTGATAAATCAAATAGAATATTTTATACATCGAGCGCGTTCGTAATTCGATCGCAAAGAGAAAATCTTAACAACTATACAATATTAAGATCCTGCAATTTCGCGAAAAAAATGCCGCTGAAAAATATATTTGTGTTGTAATAAATAAAATGTATGTACAAACGTCGTGTTATAAACGACTTCAAATAAAAATGTATACGAAACGTTTATGTTTTCTGTATAATAATGCTAAAGACAGCGCGAGCAAAATTCGTTATTCGCATAAATTCAAATATATGTCGTTCGAGGAGGATTCATAATTTTTCTATGATGGCAAGGGATCGAAAAAAAAGTCGATCGTTTATCAAAGACGATAATGTTATCGAATGTTTAATAAAATTATTAAATGTCCAACGTCGATTCCGTTTATTATATTAGCAGCTTGGCCGTTTTTCGCGTCTGAATTTGCATCGCGCCGCCGTTTGCAAAATACATTTCGCCCAGACATCGATACTCCTAAAAATGTACACGCTCCACATTTGGCACACTTTACTCATATAAATAAAGACATACCCTAACACCCCGACGAATTCTCTTCGAAGAAATTTAAATCAAGTCGCAGATTATGACAAACTAAATATCACAAAGATGCACCTATGATACCTTAATCTAAACTGGCGTGTGAACCGTTTATTCTGAAAACAGTGGTGGTTGTGTGTACGAGGACAGATTTAAATGAGATAAAATTTGCCATTGAGATTAGATATTCTCGATCGTTTTCAATATAAACAGCTCGCATAATTACTACGTGTCGCCTTTTATTAAATAACAGCTTAAAATTTGACAGATCGATTTGACAACTGTAACAAAAATCGATATTTAGCGCCAAATGTGGCCGTTTGAGATTCACTTGGTTAACGTAAAAACGGTGTAAAAATAGAGCGAATATTAAGTACGATTAAGCTCTAGAAAGGGGCGAATCGTAAATTAATAATACCTCCTACAAAACGCTTTTCGCGTAACTCTGCGAATATTATGGCGAAGAAAAACTTTCTTACCTTAATCAGATATACGTGTTACTATATAATGACTACGCTAGTAGCACTACAAATGATCTACATGGGTGCTCTAAGCTTAATTGAATCGTAACTCTGCTACGATGATTAACGGCAGCTCTTCGTTCCACGAATGATCGTCCACGATCTTGGCGATAAAGCTAACAATTTATTCCGACAAGGATACAGTCAGCTTAACAACTATCTATCTCGATTTAGATCTTTCATTACCGATCTATCGAATTATGAGGGAGCGTCGTGTTGTAGGTACACGAAACTAATCGTACGGTGTAATCTCGACAATAAATGGAGGTAGCAATATTGTCAATAACAGGATTAGCCTTAGTGAAATGAATTATGGAACAATGTACAATGTTTATGTCTTGTCGGATATCGGCTGTCCCAGTTCCGAACTTTCCGCCCATCCTCTACATGTAATCCGCTACTCACGACAATACAAAATATTGAAAACCCTGCAGATAGAAATTTGCTACGATCGATAATGTGCGATGTGGCGTACGTCAAACATGCCACTCTTCTCGCGTTTCTTTTATATGTGCCTAAAGGATAATGTACTCTTTCGATCCGAGCGGTAAATAAGACGTAAGATCTCGTCGAGATGATACGCGAACCGCGCGAAAAATCATCATGATAATCGCGATGTAAACGTGCGCGTAAACATTTTTTATATACAAAGGATACAGGTACTTCTTAAGCGAGAATATCTCTATGTATAAACGAAACAATAATATTATTGGATGTAATATTACATGTGTAAATGTAGTATAGCCTTCGAGAATAGTTCAGATTTGCGACTGAAAAAAATGCTTTGTCTATTACTTAGGTTTAAAATTGATTGACATTTTTATAGTGTTGCTTAATTGCATGCAACATTGAAAAAGTTGAGTACAAGATCACTGGCGATAGTTACGTGTCTTTTCATAACGAAATTATATCACATATCTTACAAACAATATAGAAATTATATATACAAAATATATTTGACGGAAATTACAAAAACTTGTACTCAAATCAATAATATATCGGCTTAACTAGCATTTGCCGGACAGCTTAAAAAATCTCCTATATATCACATTAATATAGTCTGTTGTACGCGCGTACGCGGGTTTACTTTCTTACTTCACAACTTCTCTCGCTAAAACTGAAATGCTTTAAAAAATTCGGTCGTTTAACAAGCACGTCGTACACGACGTCTTGCAAGGAATTTTTTCGTTTCAGTTTTACGTATCTTTATATTACGCTCTGTACCAATGTCCGATATCTCGTATTTTTAGCTTGGATCACACGTGATCGTTTTTTCATTTCTCATCGGCATATGTTTTCGTATTAATCAAGGTCTACGGTAAGATCCGCGTTATTGGTGGCAGAGAAATTCAACTCCTCGTCTTCAACAGACTCTTTGTCCGTGACGCTGGATACTGCGTGATGGTTGTTTGTCGTCTGATTGTCAATCTTTGCCTCATCGACCGGCTGAACTGTTGTCAACGTGCTCCACCAGTTTGAGAACGCCCCTTTTGCTTGCGACAGCGCTCCCCCTTGTAAATTGTTAGTCCCAAGAATAATATTTCTATGCACACTTTTCTTCCTAACTATGCATATTCTGATCGCATTGGACGTTAATCGAAATTAAGCGGAACGTCTGATTTAATATTCCCAATTATGATTTTTTTTCATATAGTAACTAGACTTAAAACTGCATGTAAATATAGAATATAATAAATACGAAGAGTTGTAAAAGGTATTTTTTTTATAGATATTAATATGCAGTTTTAAGTATGAAAGAAATATTTGTACTTAGAAATTAATTGACAATGCATTTAAATGCTCTATGGTCCGGGTTATATTTAAATCAAGTTATGCAGCCTTACCCACAGCTTTCCCAGTAGTGGCCACTGCGCGCCCAGTCGATGCCATTGCTTGATTCAACTTTCTGCCACTTTCCGTATTTTGCATCGTGCTGAAACAACAAATGTTTTTGTTTTCTTAAACACTGTACTCTTGATCGGATAAAATAAAGCATAAAAAGCAATGAACCGAATTAGTAGTCTACTTCTTATTCCTTGCACTATAAATTTATACTTTATAGTAGAGATTGGTACTTACTGTGATAAACGTAATTTCATATCTTGCACCGACAGCTGACCAGCAAAGGGATGACCAGGCTCGATATTGAGTATTTCCGGTTTGTTCGCGCTACACCACGCCTTGTAATTATTTGTAGCGCGCCACGCGGACATGAATGCTGCATTGTAGTGATCCGACTGACGAGTATCCTGTTGCATGGATGTACGCAGCATGCTCAATAGGTACACCCGGAACTGTGTTCTGATCCATTCGTCGCCACCCTCCCATCCCACCCCGTCCAGAAAAATATCCTTCCGAGGCTCGGCTACATGCCTTACCACGTAATCGGCGAATCTCAAGTCCTCCGTGGTGAGATGCAGCTGCCGCCTCAGCTCGGGATCGGTCGCCTCTATCCGCGTGTTTTCAACCTTTTGTAAATGTAGCATACGATTATAAGTTAAACACAATTTATATTCAATTCCCAATCAAATATACATATATACCTCGACTAGCACATCGATTAACTGCTTCTTTTGTTTAAACAGCACATTTGTAGCGCCTACTATATATCCTCTAACATTAATATCCCCCAAGAGATCCAAATAGGGCAAAGACAAGTAAGGTAAACAGAGATAACCCTAGAACAGATACATATTTCTGCAATATGCAAAATGTTATCCGAATGGAATATGCAAGGTGTTTCCTAAATAAGTAAAAAAATTGAAGAAAATGCATATTCCGTGACTTATTTTAAGAAGAAAAGGTCCTATGAACACAAAGCCCTAAACTGCTTCGTTTTCAAAATACACGATTCGACAAAGATGCACGCCCCTGATGGGTCTAAAAATGTTTTATCGGTACCGGAAAATGATTCTTAATACCACATGTACGCAAACCAAATTTGAATTAAATATCTTTAAATGTTTTCCAGATTTCCGAAATTTTCACATTTTTATTTTACAACTTTGACATTCTGTATTTTGAAAACGAAGCAGTGTAGGGCATATGTTTATAGGGTCTTTTCTGCTTAAAACAAGCCACGGAATATCCCCTTTACTTTTTTTGTACTTACTTAGAAAACACCCTGTATCTATGACAAGTAATCAGGTATCATTACCTTTGTAAATAACTCTAAAGGTAGGCCGCACAACTCCGGATTAACATGCGCAATTTGCGTAATGTTATTCGTTAATCTCGCGTCAGAAAGCGCATCGCTACTCGTGTCACGAGGTAAACTATTATCCGTGTCGCCCGTGCTTAATGTGATGGCGTTTACACTATGTACTCTGTGTACGTTATCGTTCGGCTTCGGCGAATATTTAGAATCGCTTTCCTCCAGGTAAGATTCGGTGCATTCTTGTGCCGATTCTATTTCGATGACCTTCATACTTAGATTTTCATTGTCGTTATTATTCTTCTGTAGGGTTACATGCTGTAGTCCGTCCAAACATTTACCCTCCATCGACTCCATAGTTTTGTTGTCGTTAATGCACAAGGAATTTCTATTGCTGTTATCGTTGCACTGCTCGTGGCTCGTGGCGTTTGACATATCGTCTTTGACGATGCGGGTGGATGACAAGTTGGAATCGTCGACATTATTCGTTGATATTTCTTCCTCATCGAAAGTCGGAATCGGAGACATCGGCCTGGATGGTCTGAAGAAAAGAAGGATTTGTTTATTGAACTTTACTGCTATCAATCTCGATAAATTTACTTATTAAAGTATCTCCGTAGTACCTCACACAAGCCGCTTGTTGGAGACCATGTTCAATCATGTCTGGATACAGTGACAGTAGAGTCAATATCGTGGCGCACAGTGGCTGTACAGGTGATTGATAAAAGACTATCCTTTTCTCAAGCAAGAGCAATTTAAATAAAAGTAACACTTTGTGACGGAATTGCAATATAAAATCTCTTGCAGACAAACCTGTAAATAATGTGTACAATGCAGGCGGTGTGACTAAAATATCATTGAACATAAATTTGTTGATGGATAATTACCAACAAAAATTTGCGGCGGTATATGACTTTCGCCGCTCATACACGAATTAAGATGATGATAAGTATCCTCCAGTAAGGATACTTTACTAAAATCTCCTTCCTCGAAATATGCGTGTGTTATCAAGGCCATTTTTACCTGAATGTGTCCGTACAGAGGCAAAGTGCTTAGCACACAAACTGACTTCTGAACAGTGCCTCTTGTTATGTCAGACGTACGATTCTTTAGTTTCTGCAAACACAATAACGTTTGGCTTGATATTTATACGACAAGTTAAAATTTGTATACATTAACGTAGAATACTTTTGTAATACCTCCACAGGTATTTGGCGGAAGCATGAAATGCCGTATATCGTACGTTTCGGATCGTTTAGACTAGGTAAGTGAAAATAGACTGTGTCCTCGTCGTAGTTATGGGAACCGTCGGGCAGGGCGAGCGTGGGCAGATACTTCCATCCCAACGGGCACTCGTTAGGCGCACCGGGCACCAAAGGTGGAAACGAGTATTCTACCTAAAAAGGTGACATTAACGTTATGAGCACGCCTTAGACGCGATTGAAAACGAGGAAGGCAGGTTAATTGGCCTGTCACTCTACCTGACAGCCTTTCTTGTGGTGAAACCCGATGACGATGACGTGAAGAATCGGCCCGCTCGATTCCGCCATCCTTACGGCTCCGGTGATGACAACGCGACGCGGCACTTGCGGCACCCGGACACCTATTTCCACGGACAACTCGGCAACATTATTTCAAAACCGCGAGAAATATCCGTGCTGCGGGCTGCGGGACGCAGACGAGCTGATAGCGGCAGACGTACAATTTGACATGCGCCATGACGCATTTACACATGTGTTGAGCGTGCATGCGCGCGCATACACATGCACATATACACGCGCGTGAAGCGTTATCGCGAATATCACGCTTGAACGCCTACTACCCAGTACCCAACAGTGTAAATTAATTTTTAGTACATACATTCGGGAAGTTCTTTACGTTTGAAGATAATTATATCCGCATCGTATCTAAACAATCTCGAGTCGTAACTGCCGATTCAAGAAAACATTGCGATTGCAATCAAGAAAATTTAAACAATGTGTGCTGTAAGAATCTCAACAATTGAAATATGTACAGTTTTATAAACTTGTCAGATTGTATATAAACAATTTAATAAGTAATTTTCCCAATTTATGCTACTCTAAGCATAATTCAACATGAAATTGCTAAGGCGTAATCTCCCTTTTACATCTACATGAAGTTTGTATACTATTCGTAGCCGAGGTCAATGAAAAGTATCTCTGTTAAAAGTATCTTTGATTTAATAACAAAACGAATCACATATCGCAAATATAATTGTACATGTATATAATATATGTGTGTATATATACAGGGAGTTCTTTTATTACACGGTCCAGATACTTATTACACAATCCATTAAATACTTCCACTTACTATACAAGTTTACAAACTGATGCGATTCATTTTCTTCGTTTGTAACAAATCCACGCCTCCGTCTTATTCCATTATCTAAATCGCAATTCCGTCGTAGAAAAATGATTATATCTGCATGCATATTCATACAAATATAAACATATAATATAATTATTTTTCCTGTCACATTTGTCTCTTTTTCGATTATGTCATGTAAGAGAGCACTAATCGAATGTAGCGTGGTGACATTGGCATTTCGTTTTCGCGTGGCTAAGTCCATTTTCTCTCAAATCCTTGCTGGGCTGAATCTACGCGTGATGACAAGTCGCAGGACGCAGCTCTGAGAATATCTTGTCCGCTCTGGTCGGGAGCGCAAAGCTATTCCGTGTCATCGGCCTCATAGCCGTTCTCCTTCCCCGTGGCAGCGAGTAGGAAGGAGAGGAAGAAGATGGGTGGAAAGAGACAGTCGGGAGACGCGCTACCTGCGTACGTTGAAGCCCCGGGTGCCGTCCGGGCCGACAGGCATGCGAAGAACGTTGCTGGGCAAATTATTGCCGTTCGGGGCACTCGACTTTGCCTGAATCTTGTTGATCTCCTGCGCCGTTTTCTCTTCCGGGCTCTTCTCTTCCCCCAGGATCCTCCTGCGTGCCTCCGCATATTCCTGCTCCCGCTTAGACAAATTTTTTACGTCTCTCATATGTTCGACAGGACAGGGCGAAAAAAACAGTGCGTTTACATACCTGCTTCAAAGATTTGATAGGCTGCTTGGGTTTGTCGTCGTTCAGTGGGCCATCGCCACTGCCCCGCGAGTCCGCGGTCGGTCTCTTTAATATCTTTACCATGGGCTTTGGAGGTACGTATTGAGATCTGAGGCCGTCTTCTCCTAATATGATCATCCTCGTGTTTGCATCATTACTGGCCCTATGTCCAAAAAGTCATTGAATATGTAATATATATATTGTTTCTAAATGACTTCAAAAAGTACAGAATGGAAAAAAGTTCTAGAAACATTCACCTCAACCTACCTAGAAGATTCTATCTCTTCCTCTGTGTTCAACCGAAAAGCCTCCAGTCTTTTGTCGAGTGCCTGAAAAATCCATCATAATTTTACATTCCTCTTCTGTAAGACGCGACAATAAATGATCTCCAGAAAGAGATCGAGTAATATTAGGAAAAGAAATATTTCTACGCGAGCTCAACGATTTGGAACATTCCATGCAAAAGTATGTCCTTATGGTAGCGTAAAGTACTAAGTACGATTAACAGTCGCGTATATCAATCTATCAGTTACGAACGATGTACGTACGAAAAATACGCGACGATTGGGACGTTTCGACGCGAGGAAATGCGAGACGACGAGCCTCGTGGAGTCCTCTCGTCATCGAAGGAAATGGAGCACAAAGGAGGTTATAGGTTATAGGTTAATCGTCCCGTTCTACGTCAGACTCGAAGAGAGAAAACTCCGGAACGCGCCTTACCCCGGATTCCTCTATCTGCTCCCAACTCTCGAGAACGTCGTCCATGGTCCGGGTGCGTCGCGACGCGAGTTTCCGCGGAGATCCGGAGCTCGCGTACTGCAACGTGCGAACGATGGCGTGCGGCGAGAACTGGGGGAGAAGTGGAAAACGGTACGCCCGTCGCCGTCGCTCCGTGCGGCTGCGGCGTGCCGTGCGTGGTCAGAATGGTCAGAAGTCAGAATCGGGGACGGTGTCGGTGCTGCCCAGCTGCCCTGCGCCCTGCATCACGACCCAAGCGGGATTGGCGGTTCATTGGAATCGTCGACGTGCATTTTCAGACGAGTGAGTCCGCCGTTCCGCAACGAGGTCACCGGTCGGAAAGTCGAAATTCGCCGCGTGCAGCGTGCAGGCAAACCTGTCGGCCGGAGATTCGTGACACCACGAGGGACCGAGGCCGAGATCATCAGCCGAGATGAACGCTTTTCGCCGGGTGTAATCAGGATTTGGAAAAATCTCTAGGAGCTAGGAGCTCGTCGACGGGCGACCAATAAGCGCGATGGACGAATTCTCGTGCCGACTGCCGATCGGTGCTTCCGCTCCGCTTGCGCCTTTGCCTGACTTTGCGCGAGGATCAGTTGACGTTTTGACATCGTGTCGACTGTGTGGTGTGTGGTGTGTCGGTCAGTCGGTGCGCTTTTTAACGTCAGGTTTCGGTGCCGCATAATGAACTGCACAATATCGGCGTGATTACGCTCCTACTTGTGACTTGAGAAGAGTCTCGACGCGATTAAACATGACGGAGATAGAATGGTGAGAGAATTAATTTTCGTTCAAGTGTCTGCTCACGCTGTTGTTCTCGATATCATATAATAAAACTTTGATACTCTAACATAAGAAAAATCATACAAGAAACTTTATTGCAGGATATCAAAGCCCATGGAATATGGGACTGTGAAGTTTGCGTGCCTAGAAGAAACTACGGATCATCCTTTGAAACCAGTTGTAATCACTGTAAGAATAGCCTCTCTTTTACTGGAGTATCACAAATATTTCCATTTCTACAATCATAGAAAATTTTTTTACAATGATATAGCTGATTGATGGACGTAGCGCAGCTAGACGCAGTGCGTTGCGAAGTACAAGTACCAGTTCCTCTACTGGAACACCTACCCCAACGCACACACCAGTTCCTGCAAATCCACTGAGCGATCCATTGTTAAGTCATCCTTCCTTGGATGGTTCTGATCCCCTTACACAATTTGTTCGAGAAGAATTGGATCCTCTCTCTAAGATGGCTGCAGATGAAGTAATATATATAGTTTATAATATTTTTATTTTATAGTATCTTTATCACAATGTGTTTATTATCTATGTTATAGTGGGATTATTCTAATGTCGCACCTGCGAGTAAAAAATCAAAAGATACGGCAGAGGAGTTGGTAGAGCCATGGTCTGTTAGACGTTCCGCTATATTGAGCAAATACACAACTTCCGAAAAATTATCGATTGTAACCAGTTTCTTACCAGGTGGAGAGAAAGGTACTTACTTTTTCAAAAAATTAACGATTAATTTAATTTTGTAAAATTATTTAAATACATTATTGTTTATTTTAAATTGTCGCAATATTGCTTTATCACAGTTGTAGTGAAAGTTCAGCCAAGCGGGCCGATGGTCGACAAGGTAAAAACGCGACTTGAACAATTAGACGACTTTGAAGAGGGTTCTGTCAGGCAAATGTTGGACTTGTCGCAGCAACAGTATACCGCGCGAATCGAACAATTAAACAATGAACTAGTACAAGCGTGGCATTCCGATCAAAGAGTGAAGGCGCTCAAAATTGCAATACAGGTTTTGATACATTTGTTCAGCTCCTATGAGAAAGCTTAGAGCAAGAAACTTACGATTTAGATATTAATGCTAAATTATTTCAGTGTGCAAAATTATTAGTAGATACATCTGTAATGGCTTTTTATCCGAGCAAGTTTGTTCTCATCACAGATATTTTGGATATCTTTGGAAAACTTGTGTACGAGAGATTGAAAGTGAAGGCTGAGTATTACAAGTAATTATTATATGTATTTTTTAACTTATTTTGTAACTGCATTTTATATTTTGCGGATTATCGCACAGTTGCTAATAGTGATATTTCTCTCGTAGACCAGGAAGTAAAGTACCTACGAGCTTGCCCGATAATTTTACACCTGATATGGTTCCTGAGAATGCAAAGGAAACGTGTCGGAATTGGTTTTACAAGATAGCTTCTATACGCGAACTAGTACCGCGTTTATATGTTGAAATGGCTATAATAAAATCTTACAGTTTTCTAACGACGAGGTAAGGCTCTCGTAATAGACATTCATAATATTATAATAATATAAAAATTAATATATTAAAACAATATTTTCATTTTAGCGAATTTAATACTGCTCTACTGCGTATAACTCGTATGATAAGAGGTATCGGAAATCCGTTGATAGCGGTTTACGCGAGATGTTATTTATGTCGCGTGGGATTGGCATTGAACAAAACATCAGATTTTGAGTTTGTGAGGGAGAATTTGTACGACTTTCTCTTTACATATCAGCAGCTATTTGGTACTGCTGTGAAAAATGAAATAATGAAACAAAACGTCACCTTGCATTCGTATCTTAATTTGTACTCACCAGCTTTGGATTGGGTCGTACAGGTTTTGGTGGCAACATCACCCGAGAGCCTTCTTGAAGAGGTTTTATCTCGATGTAAAAAGCAAAAGAAGGGGTAAATAAATAGGTATTTTATACCTATTATACCTATATATTTATACCTTTAATTTGTCTTTAATCTATTAATTTTTACGTAATTGACATATACATGTTTTCAGATCATTATTATTAAATACAGTACTGACTGCATTTAAACCGACGTATATTGCTGCACGTGCAATGGACTTCGTCAATTTAATAGTAGCGAGCGAAGACGATGGTACTGAGATTAAAGAATTAAGAAATGTATATGTATTTAATTTAGAGATATTACAGGATTTTCTTTTTTTACCTCGATAGGATATCCTCAGTATCTCTTATATCGAAGTTTGGGAGAATGTCTTGTGCGAGAATCTCCGCCGAAAGAAGATTGTCAATCGGTGCTCAACGTGATATGGAAGTATATAACGGACCTCACAGATCCCAATAAATTCATGCATTGCATCGAGATTTGGATTCAGTTCACCGTTATACACTTTTCTGTAAGTTGTATGAATAATAATAATAATACTTCATATCAAATTAAATTATTATAATATGTAATATGTGTTACAGGTAAACGAATTAAATTTGTTTTTCGGCAAAATAATAGACCGGCTACGACCAAACAAAGTTTTCGAAAATTATTATCCACAGTTGCAGAATATTGTTGAGAAGATAGTCGCCCACACGCAAGATTTTGAATCGCTGCTTGCCATAGTAACTATCCTTGCATTTATATAACCGCACATTATTCGTATTTATTTAATAAATTATGTTAAAACGTTCGATCTATCACAAATAATTTGACAATTTTTGCAGGACAATTTTTTACCCCTAATTGACTTGTTTCACAAAGAAAGTGTTAAGGTCGAAGTTTGTAAAACTGTTATAGAAGGATTAAGTGCACAAAACGGGCCTATTACAGATCCTATTATTATAAACGCTCTGATGTTTATCGCAAGAATAATGCACGATTCCGTTAGGTATGTCAATTTAATTTCGCGATTATACAGTTTATTCTGATCTTTAAAATCAAACAAATGCAGTGCTCTGACCGTCGAAGATGAGAAACGACAGATCGGACAATTAATATGTGGCCTAGTACAACGAGTAGATTATGGTCGCGATTTCGAGAAGCAGCTTAGTTTCTACGCAGAGGCCAGGGCGGCATTTCCTAATCTTGATAGCGTTCATATACAACTTGTGCAGGTATGTAATACATACGTGGGTAGTCTGAAAAGTTTTGAGCCTCAAACCTTATTTTTTCGGTCAAATTCGGTCAAATTTTTCAACATAGTCTTCTTTTAAGTCGATGTTAGGCTCAAAACTTTTCAGACTACCCTTGTATACCTTTACAGGAAGAACAGTTGCTAATCTATATCAAGATAAAACTTTTAGTGGTAATTAAATCATTGCTTTTGTATTTAGTGCGTGAATCGATTATCAGTTGATACCAGAAAGATAGTACGTGGCCACCATACGAGGAGAACGTCGGCATTTGTACGCGCCTGTGCCGCCTTCTGTTTCATCACTATACCGTCGTTAACTTTAGTCCATACACGTCTGCAATTGTATCTACTGTCTGGACAGGTCGCCCTATTGAATCAATGTCTAGGCCAAGGTGCGAGTCAAATTAATTCTTTTTTTAACATTAACATATAACATATTGCTTTTATTTATCTCGTCAATTTACGTGCGTAAACCGGCATTTTTTCAGCCGATGCCTGCTTTAAGGCTGCTTTAAGTTTAGTTCCGGAAATGCCGAAAACCATCGATATCGATGGAAGACAGAAAAGCTCGCAGCCGTACTTGCTCTCATACTTATCGAATTTCTTGTCTACATTATTAGTAGTTCCCGTAAGTATACTGATATGCGCTACGTTTTATAATTTTATGATTTTAAGATTGCTTTGTACTATATTAGGATAGCCCAGAGCATGGTGTCCTGTACTTGATGAGAGGCTTGCTCAATGCTGTTCAACGTTACTTCGAAGAGAATACCTCAACTAAGCCATATTTGTATTTACGTGTACTCGATCTTCTTTCAACGGTAGCGCAGGAAAATTATCCATATCATATCGATAAGGTACCTCATACTTTCGTGTATATTTCGTGTAAGAACAATTAAATAACCCAAATTTCATGACACTTAAAAATTAGAGAAATTAATTACGAACTAAGATCTATCACATAATGGCATTTCAGGTTGACTCAAATGATAAATTGTATGGATCTGATCAGAAATTTATTGGTGAAGTCAATAAAATATGTTCGAAGATTGTTGAGGAAATCTTGAGTCATCTCAAGTATCTTGGATCTATCGAGCAATTTGATAAACAATCGGCGCTAGCACTCGAACTATTTAATTGCTTTATTATTCGTGCAGATTTACGGGATACTGCATTAGCGAATATGGCTGTAAATTTGTGGCACTTGTCACAACGACATGGTTCGGTGGATTCTAAAGTTACGGTAAATACGCATTTGCAGTAATCAGGAATTCGATTTTTAATACATTGTTTTATTTTTGTAATCTTTAATTATCTCGAATATTTTTTTCAGATGAGGACGAAGGCTTACATGACACAGAAGAGTCATCATCAAGAATATGAGCATTTTACCGAAATACTCAGGAAAATGTCGAGATGAAGGACATTGGAAGTTTTCGATAACAATCAGAACAGCTTAAACATTTTTTATTGGCAGTTTTTTTAGAAGACATTTTGTAATTGTGCAATAATTTTTCCAATTATATCAATCAAGCCAATTAGCAAATAATAGCAGGAAGATAAAATAAAATATAAATTATAAAAATTGTTAATCACTTTATACTAAATTTTCTAAAATATAGCAAATATTGTTCAAAATATTGAAATATATAAATAATCGATGTAAAAATTTATACTCAATAAAGATATCACTTACAGTTCTACATTTGTTACGGAATACATTCATATCATAATTTTGCACATTTTCTAGAACACATCGAACGATATTTGTTACACACATTTATAAGACAATACAGTTGATTAGTTCGTCATTAATTCGTCATTTGTCATAAACTATTCCATAATATAACTGCCATAGAAAAATAATGATTATTTTATCATAGACTTCGTATATCTCTGTGAACACTCCATAATGGAAGACATCTGATTTGGAAGACACAAGAAATCACCAGGATTATTCTTATTTTCTTAACACAGAACGAAGTGCGTCCAGAAATATATCGGCATGACGCTCTGTGAAAGTCAACGCAGGCCTCAGCCGCACGGCTTGGCTACCGCATCCACCTGTCTGGATACCTAACAAGAACACGAAAAGCACGAAAACGTGAAAGATATTCTTAGCGCTCGCATTTTACATTGCGATATCACCTTACCTCTCGTTGCAAGTTTCTTGATGATGTTGTCTCGCATTTCAGGCGAGGCGCAATTAAACGCTATGAAAGTTCCACGTCCACGCACTGCGCTGATTGTAGCAGAATGCTCTTTTTGCATATCCATCAAATGTTTCAATACATAGTCGCCGACGCGCGTAACCCTATCCAAAAGATTCTCCTTTTTGATCGTTTTTATAATCGCTTCGAGCAGTATCACTTTGCCGGGATCTCCCATCCAAGTATTGAACACACGATATGACAGTTTCGGTCTGCGATGTGCAGGGCGAATTAAACGTTAATACTTAAAACACGACGTTATCGCTTTATCGTAAAAAAAATATTTACTTTAGATCCTCCAAGTGATAATAACCGCCCATTTGCATTTTCTTGCTGAAAGTCATCACGTCGGGTGGGGTATCTAAATTGAAGTGTTCGTGGCACCACATTTTTCCCGTTGGTCCGCCACCAGTTTGCACTTCGTCGATAAGTAACGCAGCTCCGTGCTAAAATATTTCAATGCAACATTTTAATGCAATATATCTTTTCTTACAACGCACAGTGAGATAATTGTGAGCCGCACGCTTTATACCTTCCGCGTCACGCGTTGAAGTTCCTGAAAGAATTCTGGCGACGCGTGATTATCGCCGCCTTCCGCTTGAATAGGCTCAATTATCACGCCAGCTACTGGTATTTTCTTTTCGTTTTTGTACTTCTCGAATAGTTCCTCGACCTGAAACATATCGTCATGCTCTTAAATTCTTCTCTCATACATGCGAAACGCTCAAAAAGACATTTAAGAGTAGTGACTTGACGATACCTCCGCGAGGCAACGCTTATCTTCGTGCTTGTTTTCTCGCACGTTCTCCTCTAAAGGATATTTGTACTCTGGAAAAGAGGCGATAGGCCAGTCGAAAGCCGGTATATCCATTTTGTGAATGTACTTGCTGTGAGTCGTTGAAAGGACACCTAAGGTTCTTCCATGAAAGCTACCTAACGATATTAAATATTTCGTAAAGATTCCTAATTAAAATGGAACTTGTTTTCATTCGGACAGGTGACTGACCTTTAAAGGACATAATAGAGTATCGAGGTGAACCGGGAATTTGATTTATCATACATGACTCTATCTCTTCCTTCGTGAACGGCGCTCTTTGCCTTTGTTTCTCGGCGTACCAAATAAAAATGTTTTTAAAAGCGTTCTCGTTGGAACAAGAACCGCACATCATTGTTGTGATGTGCGATAATCCGGGTGGTGCAAACTGTTCAAAAAAATAATAATTCATATTTATATCGCGCGAAAAGTGATGGACGATAAAAAATTCATTATAATTTTACGATATATATATTACCTCTTTCTTAAGCAGAACATCCTTTAATCTATTAGGCCAATCTTTCCCTGGAAAGACACCTAATGCAGGCCTATTCGCTATAATTTTCTGGAAAAAGACATAATATATCATTCACAATTTTTTGTACATACACGCTTGGACACCATCTACTCCACGTAAAACAAAATAATTCGCAATGTATTCCAAGAATATCGGATTATTAAAATTTAATCCAATATTGTACATATGCTGTATATAGTTAAAACTCAAGTGATATATCATGTAGGAGGAGATTAGCATGTAAATTCCGTATATGAGAAAAATAAATACGGTACTCCGCGACGAAATGCCTTTTATATCACTCACTTGATTAACGGGATCGCCGAGAGCCTCCAACATAGCCGGATGATTGTACCCTAGGGGCATTGATGAGATTTGCATATAAACGTCCAGCAACGCGTTCCCGTCAACGTCTATTATGTAATTACCGGCGGATTTTTCATAGTCTGCGAAGAATTGTACGGAAGACGCTTGCTGAAGTCACAGATTTCAACATTGTAAACCCATTTCGTCTCTGGCATATTTACAAAAGATATTTCGCATTATTACTCATATTTTAAATATATACACTTCGATTCTACAATTATAGCAATTCTATGTAACAACGGTAAAGTTATAACTTTCAAACTATCGAATTGAAATATGAGCTATAGGCGAAGCACTCAAAACATCAGCAGATAGCAATTTAATTGATAATCATGCCGTGACGTCACCCAAAGAATCAAGAGTGCCTGACGTACTTGAATCGTATTTAATTCTTGTAGCAAGCTGCGCGATCGAGGACCCGGTATCTCCGTCGTAAGTACCGGCCCTTCTGGTTCCCTCGGCACCGAACCGGTTAAGCATCTCTTCCACGTTGTAATGCCTGCACGACAACCATTATACTCTTATATTTAAATATATATATCCTCCTATGTACAATTTAAATATATACGCATTTTCTTCGCAGAGAAACATACACGTATATACATGCATATAAAAGATTCTCTGCGCTTTTGGATTTTGCCGACATATCCATATCCGAGCAGAAAAACAATTTAACTCGCTAAATTGTTCAACAACTGCGGTGATCCAGTTCTATTGACGATAGTTAAGGCTGATTACTTGATTTATTACTGCGATTTTACGTGTTCGAACCCCCTCGTAAATCATTATGTTGCAAATTGCAATGTGCAATGACGTGATATACATAAGTCGCAGACGCGGTAACGTAGAAACTAGAGTATGAATAAAGAAAATACAGATTGCAACGTTTTCCGTATTGGACAAAGAGACTATTAAAAGCAAGGAGTTCTGGATATAGAAATCGGAATTAAAAGATTAAATTCTCATTTAATCATAACTGATTATAAAATATAATAAACGTGATTTTGATCGAGAGAACATGTTTTGGATGAGCTCTCCTATCTCAGATATCAAATGTTTGTCTGATATCTGAGATACTTTATATCAGCAGATAGGACCCAATCGTTCAAATTTGCTAAGTAACAAAGTTGACGATACGCAATATGCTTACTTTCCGCGTTATTAAATATAGATTCCAAACAATTTGAGCTTTTCGCTTCCTTTTTCATCAGAATTGATTGTTTAAATTTTTCTAAAATTATAACGATTCTCTTTGGATTACATATATTTTGCTGGTACTTTTTATTTAATTTATTTTACCACTGAGGAAAATTGTGATTCTAAATATTTGACAATCGTTATTAATATATATTAACATTATTTATTATGTGTCAATATTTTCGATTTAACTTTTACTATTTAAATCTTCGTTCTCTTATCGAGGTGCAAAAATATTAAAAACAAAGATTTTCGGAAAGGATTTTCGGAAAGGATTCGAAGTCGAAATTAAAAGATTACTTTCTCATTTAATGATTATAAAATATAAGATATAATATATAATAAACATGATTTTGACTGAAAGGACAAGTTTTGGGTGAGCTCTCCTATCTCAGATATCAAATGTTTGTCTAAGATACTTTATATCAGGAGATATGACCCATTCATTAAATGTTTATTTTTAATTAAACTCTATAAAAATAATTAGTAAATTTGTTCGTTGAGATCTTAAATTTTTATTCCATAAATAATTTTCTTTGCGAGAGAGAAGATTTTAAAGTAGTAGAACTGTATTTTGTACAAAACTGATTTAAAATTAACATTACAACGTCCGAGATCGTGACGAAAGTAAACATTCTTTATCTGCGTGCTATTTAAAATTTCGGATGAGATAACGACGGAATAACGATAGGATAGTGAAAGATACTCGTATTAATAGCACTCTTTACTAAAGATACAACGTTAAAAGTATTTTCGTTAAAAATACACCGAGAACTACACTGTGAAAGAGTTAATATATTAATTTTTCTTTCAATGTTATTTATTTCCTTTTTGCCTTTTTTGCAATCGTTATGCACCGCACAGGGATTTAAGATTCGCGGGCGGACGGCGAAGCAGCTGGAACCGAGATGAATTTATCGATTTTGTCACGGTCCACACAGCGTTCGCGATAGAGCGGCATGCTCCCGAATAGATTCTTGTCATCCATTATGTGAACTACACCCATTTTCGAGTTTGACGAAGAGGAAGTATAAATACCGTTTAGCAGCCATCGGAGCGAGGTCCGCCCACTCAACGCGCGGTGATACTTGTTAACGAGCATTTCCGTTTGAGACAAGAGCACGGATACAAGAGGGCTGTTTTCTCAGCAACGTCGTCTCTGCCGAAGGGATGGAGCCGTACTGGTCGCTGATACGCGCTGATAGCGTTCACCCGGTAAAAAGAGCCGGAGAGTCTCGTGGGGGCGCGAGTTGCTGGAGCAGCCGCTCTTCTGCTCCGAGGAAGAGAGAGAGCGAGAGAGAGAGAGAGAGAGAGAGAGAGAGAGAGAGAGAGAGAGAGAGAGAGAGAGAGAACTCCTCTTGCGTGTCGCTCCTCGTCGTAGAGACTTATGATTGGTCTATTTCAGAGCGCTGAATACCACAAATATCAATATTCCATCCAATATACTATTTAAAAAGAAAAATCAGCACGTACTGCAAATATTTGGCAGCGCATGCATGTGAAAGATACCGAAGGCGTTTGAAGGCCAAAAAAAAACGTCACTCTCTTTTCGCGATGCTCTGACTGCGAAAGCAGTCGCTGATTAATGCGAGGTATCAAATTGTCCTTGCTTGCACAACTGTCTGTCTATATATCTGTCGCTGTCAACGAATACCGTTGCGCTTCGTGTCAGGAATAGTACTACAATTCCAACGGTTTTACGTGGTGTGATACGGTGAAAGTGAAAGTGAAATTGAAAGTACAAATTCGGGCTTTTCTCTGTTATGTTATATTGTGCCACTTAAATGTACAACAAAATTTTACATATTTCCCGGAAAGAAGTCTTTCTTTTATTGTTTACCTGTCACATGTTCACGTATGTGTTTATCGCAGTCATTTATGCTAAGTTATGCCGCATAACTAATTTGTAATTTGATGTTAATTTGACGTTAATTTGCTGTTAATTTGATGTTAATTTGATGTTAATTAAATTGGTATAATTAATTAATTAAAATAATAGAGAGATTCTATTATATGTCGTGCATATATTATTCACAAGAATTATCGAATTTCACGGCAATCGTTATTTGACTGCCACTAAACAATACATAATATGTATGTATATCTGTATGGACACGTGCGCTCTCAGCACACATAGCTGAAAGTGTTTGAGCTGCACTTGACCCCATTACGAAAGGCGGAAGGCAAATAACCAAATAACCAGTTATGATCGCCTTTGTCTCGAGGCAGACAGTATAAAGAAATCGATGACCGGACAGGTTTCGGATGAAAATAATGCACCAATCCGTCAGTCGGTGGATCTTGCTGGACAGAATAAGGATACCCACATTTTTCCCAAGGCTCGAATACGAACTTGGTGCTCGAACGCGCGCGAGAACGCGAACGACCATTCAGACCTTCGGTCGACGATACGATTTCGAGCGGAATGCCGAATGGACCGATCGAGGATTTTCCAGCTTCCATACACTCGGATCATCCCCCACTATGTTAGCCGGGGCCCATCCGACTTCCTACCTGAAAACCACGCCTCAAGTCCTGTGTGCTCACGGTTGGAGGTGGCCGTGTTTTTGGGCAGCTCGGGCCGCGCGCGACGCGCACGCACATTGTCACTCGCGTGAACGCGCTCGAGCGGATCCGTCCGATTGTGCGGAACTGTCCTCCTGGGTGACTACCTGCGACCGCGAAGAGCAACCCCGTCGGAACCGATCACGTTGCCCGTCGATTTTCACCTGCTTAACAATCCGATCAGACTGAGCACGTGCACTCGAGTGAGTATGACTTTACATACATACAGGGTACAGATATACCCTACGTGTCGTAATTTACAATTTTAACGTACAACGAAGTACGAAAGCCGGCGAATTGGGTTCTGCGACCCAATCCGAAAACGCATTCAGACAACACGCGTGTCTAAAAGACGTCGTAAAGACATCTTTTAGACATGCGAGTTACCGGAGCATTTAATTGTAGGATCAACGTTGATTATTTCCAAGATCGATCACATAAGGATTCTCTGCCAGGAAGTTTTTATACGAAAAGTAATAGCCAATTATCGATAAATTGCGTTGGATCTCTCGCATAATTTGTTCTAAGTCGATCGAAATAGCTCGCGACACGAAATCTCGTATTTAAACTCGATTGCATTTGTAATCTCTATAGTCTTGAGATAAATTTGTTCCATTCCCGCAACCTTGGCTTGACGTGGAAACAGGAGGCGTGTTAGTCTCCTTTTTTCCTTTCTCTCCCTTATTTTGTTATGTCGCCGTATTCTGAAACCGGTGTAACCCGGCGAACCCGATTTCAATGACTTCGCGGTTAGATGAGTCGTCGAGCTCTACACTTGATATTGATAAATTCGGAAAAACTACAAACAATAATGTGATTTAACTATTTATCAGAATACTATAAAGCGTGCATTGATCGTTAATAATTTTTTAATGTTTATTGTAGTCAAAAAACGATCTGGAGAGAGCCTCGAGGTTTCGCGCCTTCGTTTCCAACTCTTGTATTAACACAATTAATATAATTTATATTAATTTTAGAGCAACAAAGGTTTTGTAAGCGTTTATATATATCACGAGTTTATTATAACCGATAAGGTGAACTGTGTGTATTCGCGAATAACCCATAATTTATGACTGCAACTTTCGAATCGCGCCGACCGATCCAATAATACGAAGAGAATACGATACAAGGAAGATTCAAATGCCGGTAACTTATGATCGCTCGTTATGCGGCTTATTGGCTTATCTCTACATTTTTTTCCGCTCGCTCGACATATTTATGAATCGAGATATAATAAGCCAGTCAATAAAAATTTCACTAGGTTCGGCCGGAACACAAGTTTGCTAACGGGAGGTCTTGTACAGTTAGAACATAATTTAGAACGTGAAGAAAAGACAAATTGCCATAGCCCTATAAATCCGCCAAATTTAACGAAAGAAGGTGAATCCCATAACTTCAGAAAAGAATTGATCATAAACGATGTTCAGTGAAGGATAACGTAAAATTTTAACCATCGGAATCGCTTCTTTCCGGTCATTCGCTTCACGAAGGAATCCGGTACGATATTTGGCTTGTGTCTATTCCCGAAAGCTAAAGTACCACTTATCTCGCACTTTATGACCGCGATTAGAATCGCCTCCTCTAAAAATCGGCCCTCGTGGGAGGAATTTCGGTGCTAAAATCGCGGAACGGCGAGAAGATCGGGAAGGAGGGAGGAACATATTGTTGTCAGAACTAAACAGCCTTAGTGTTAAAAGTGTTAGATTTATACTTCCCATCGTTGTCCCGCTATGTCGTTTCGAATTCCATTATGTCGCATCTTCACCTATCTCGCGCGAACTCAACGAGGCGTCCCTTCCAAGAGCATTGACTGTGATGCTCTCCTTCGTTTATCACTGCGATTTGATAGTACCAGCTTGCTCTCGGCGAAGGTTAACCGGCTCTGTTTTACATTCGATGAATCTTTGGTTTTATTTAGACTACAGGGCGAATGTATCTCATTGTAGCTCCACGAATCCTGCTATGGCAGAGTCTCTTTTGACCAGTAATTTAACTACATAAATGAGATTTGTGACAATAAAAAATTGAGACCCCACAAAAACAATACAATCTATGTGTAACGATCATGTGTTAGGAATATCATATACGTATATAATTAATATTAATTTAATATATTGATATTAATTTTTTTAATATTCATATTTTATCAGGATTAGGTATATTACATTATCAGATATTACATTATTGACGCGTTTGAGAATACAGTTATATCATCACATAAAAAATTTACGGAACTTATTACTTACCGTTATATTTATTTTCAAATCGAAGCAGCTGTTGCGAATGATGGTTCTACCTGATTGATATTCAACTAAGTATTCAACTTACAATTCAGCAGCTGATTGAGACTGCGGCACTTTAAATGGTTCATATTAGAGCCTAATGAAAGACCGTCACTTAAGATCATCACCATGTATCTCGTCGCGTGTCAAACAGCTGTCAATGACACGTGTACACGTCAATGAATTCTACTTCCGCTTTATGTACTAATCGACGTGTCAATAATAATCGATCAATAATGGCGATGAATTTTTATGAATAGCCGAAAGTAAAATAGATATTAAGATTTATTCTAGAAATAGATGTAAAAAAATTTTGTTTCGTCCGTTGAAAGAACGCACTTGGGACGGTTTTTGGCGCCGATCCTAATCCTACGCTACGTGTATCGCTTAATAATACGTGACATAAGTGCCAACGACGTTCTTCGCCATTATTGTCGTAACGACACCATTGGCACAATACACGTTGCTTCACTTTCTTACGCAAGATTCAGCTTCCCCCAGCTGATTCAAGGACGTCCGTCATGATCTTATTTCATTGTAATCTTGTCCCCCGACACTCGAAGGCGGAACTCATTATTATGCGACAGAAGCTTTGAACACGATGCCTAATTCCAGTTTGAAATAGATTTTCATGCCCCTTACAGGCTCCTGAAAACTTCTCCCAAAAGTTAAATGCGAGATGAATGCGATCGAAGTTTATATTTGATCGAGTTAATACTACAATTAATGCTCGATGTTGATGACATTGAATCACTTCATTTGTTTAGCGCGGATAGCTTTCCCAGACAGCACGCATGTCTAAAAAACGTCATGAAGACGTCTTTAAGATGTCTTTGCGACGTTTTTTTTAGACACGCGTGCTATCTGAGTTTCCTAGACTATATTCTATATAGTACCCCTAACAGCAAATGTATATTCTGAGAATGTTTAAAGGATATCGTAAAATATAAGATATTATAAGGACGTTCTCAGTATATTAATAAGTACATCCTTAGTATATTCTATAGATATACAAGATATTATTGCTGTTAGAGACATATTCGATTCATTGTATTTAAAAACCAAATCCCCTCAATCAAACACGAATAAATAGGAATACTTTACTAATTGCTGTAATGGTTTCAGGAAAAAATGATCACCAGGCATCAACGAAACAACATTCTGCTCGTAATATTATACCTCTTCATGCAAGTAAGATCATTTTTTTTAATAATTACGATAATTACGTAAACGAGATTAAAATTACGAACAGGACTTCCGCGCTCTCTTGATCGCACAAACGTTCCTCTTTTCATAAACTTACGTTTTAAGGAAATCTGAAAGGCCTTATTTTTGCCAGTGGCATCGAAAGTCCGACCGTACCAACTCGTTTTTCAATATACTCCTTAAATACGCCCAATAGCCTCGGACAATTCCGCCATTTCACAGCACTTTCCCAGCAGACGCGCCCTTAATAACTCACGCACGCGAGTAAAAGTTATAACGAGGCCGCCCATTTAATGACATTGCGTATATAGCGCGATCGAAGAAAGGTGCAGAGTAACAGTTTCATTTTTTTACACAATACCTTTTCTTATTCTTCTCGCTCTCGAACCTACCTTCGTCGCGAATCTTTGAAAAAGGTGCCTGACGTGATCCACGGACACGGAAGATTAATGGATCCTCCGTCGAGGAACGCGATGTGGAGGTTCGGCTATCCAAACCCCGTCAATTACAATGACAACGAACTTTTCTGCGGTGGTTATGCAGTCCATTGGCAGCAGAATAATGGCAAGTGCGGGGTTTGCGGGGACGCGCATCATTTGAGTCAGCCGCGCCCACACGAGGCCGGTGGCGAGTTCGCAAACGGGATCATTGTTCGACGATACACCGTGGGAGAGGTAATGTAACTTTTTGATGTTTTTGTACGTTATTATATTTGCACGCATGCAAATCTCATAGCAAGATTAAATAGCAATATTTCTAGACAGCCCTTGACAGCAAATGTATATTCTAAAAATGTTAAGAGGATATCGTAAAGCATAAGATGTTATAAGGATGTTCTCCATATATTAAGACATCCTTAGAATATTCTATAGATATACAGGATATTAATGCTGTTAGGGGCACTATATTCAGAATCGGGACCTCTTTAAAGATAACTTTAAGACGTCTTATGTCCCGATTTTGGACATGCTGTCTGGATTATTTCTTATGTTCTTACGAAAAAAAAATACGCTTGTAAGAAACTTATAATAATATAAGTACAATGTCAGTATAATCTGTTTGGAGGAAATCGAAGTGGAGATAGAGCTAACGGCCAACCATAACGGCTGGTTCGAGATGTATATTTGCCCCAACAACGATCCGTCGCGCGTGACAACGCCGGAGTGTTTCGCTTCGTAAGTGATCTCTACGCATTCGGTACGTATAAGACTGCTGATGCTGTCGCTAATATCACTAATCGCTTAATCGTCCAGCTATCCCCTGTACGTATCCGGGACGCAGAACGTACGTTTTGAGATTCCGCACGATACGGGAAAGAAGGGCATCATTAGGTACACGGTAACGTTACCACCGTATTTAACATGCTCGCAATGCGTCGTTCAATGGAATTATTACACAGGCACGAAATTTTATCGCGTATTACTTTTCGTCTTTTGTACTGAGAGCGATCTCTTAATCTCGTATGTGTTTTGCTATTAGGTAACATGTGGGGCACGTGTGAAAATGGCACGGAAGCCGTCGGATGCGGCAGGCCAGAAACCTTCCGAAACTGTGCCGACGTGAGCATCGTTACCAGCACCGGTGCAATACCGCCGCGGTTTCTGTATCAGAATGTTATCTACGAGCTGTACTCCGTAGCTCCGAAATTCTCGACCGCTCCGTTTGCTCGACCACTCAGGTGAGAATCGATTAGCGTTAAAGAGTATACGTTAATTCGTGCGCGCGTGTCAACCTCGAGCGCGCTTGATTGTTCTCGGTGTGACACGCACGTGCATGGATTTTACGATTTCAGGGCTCAAGTGTGCGAGCCAACCGCGGCTTATCGATACAGGCAGAATATGACCAATTGGTGTCAAGTGAATTGCATTCGCGTCCCGTCGAACTGTCCGCCAGGAATCTGTCATTGTCTGTGAGTATTAAATTGATTGCCGCGCGAGTTCAAGCAATAAATTGTCATTGACTCGGAATCGCATTAAAATATCAAACGGTCGTGACTTTCAATGTAGCATCTGCGTTTCGGAAATTCTCTCTGATCCTCGTTTCGACGTGATTACAGAAACACTTGTGACGCTATTGGAGATATTGCTGACAGACCTGGAGCGGACCAATACTGCCTAAGACGTTGCATGCGATATCCGTCCAATTGCCCGACCGATCGCTGTAACTGTTATTGAAACTGTGACCGATATTGACATTCTACATGCAGCGTTAAATGTGGGATGTGAATATGCATACCGTCGAATTAATAAAAGTCTGACTGTAATTTCACAGCGTGCGTATAATACTGTGGAAAAGTTTACACATATACACGTACACAAGAGAACGTTTTTCTTACCTTATCGTGGATTTTTCTTCCCGAAAAACTTTCAAGGAATGCTAAAAGTGTAAAGCCCCATTTTAAACGATCCGAGATTCAAGTCGGATTTCAAGATAGAATTCGATTTATAATTTTGTATTTTGTATATTTTGTTTTGAGGTATTTTAATGTATATTTTATATATGCAGGTATTTCGATTTTTCTAAATGTTTCTCTTTATTACACAGCACGTCCCAGGGAACAGCGTCGCGTGATTTCCACGTCAGTTTTTGGTCAGTCGTCAATTATCCTTTTATAATCACGTAATAATGACGTAAAAATAACAGGAATAAGTCACAGACCGATGAAAACGTTTCGAGACGTTGAAAAAACGTGATTTTATCTTTTTTTTGCCTTTTAATGACGTTTTAAAAACGTTTTAATAACTATAGAGGAAAATCAAAATTATATACAAAATGATTTTATTTGAAACAAGATGTGTTATATAAAATACACTGCATTTTATTTGTGTTTATTTAATTATTATCAGATTTAAAAAATAAAGGTACCATTAACTAAAATAAGGTTACGTTAACGTTACATCAATCTGATCAATCCAAAAGTGTGCCACACTTTATTATAAGAGTGAATTCCACGATACAACTGATACAAGTTGTGCAATTCCATGATTTATGCACCGTTCTCATTTCGGTGGTATCTCTACCACCGTTCATCATATTTTATTTACGAGAAACAGATCCCATCGGATAATCCGATATTTGCGTATATATTCTTTTAATTTGAAAATGACCTATCTGAAACGCATTATAAACGTTTTTAAATTGACTTTAATTGATTTTAAATTGTTAATTCACGCATCTTAAACGTCAGTTATTGGGTACATGATGTCTAGGACCGGTAATCAACTAATCACCACTTATCAATGTGAAAATCATGTGACGTTGTTGCCTGGGGTAAAATTATAAATAGAATTCTATCCCCCTAATGCGACGTGATCTGTAAATTGTCTAAAGTGGTCTTTTGAAGTAATAAACAGAAATATAATGCACACACCTACTTCCTGTAAAACGCGAGAGAGGGAAGGGACAAAAGAAACCGTATAATGGCACTATAATATTTAATATTAGGACATTCTATTGACAGCTTAAAATTTCACGCGTATATCACATATTATATACGTAATCATCAACATTCCCCGCGGCCTCACGCACGATATATCAAGATGCAGCTATGTTTAACGAAATGATGACGGTTCAACAATTTCACGCGCTTCCGATCGCCAACGAAAATTTATAATTAATAATACCAGAAAAACGTACGAGTCCATACGTTTTTTCGCAGCGATGATGTATTGTTTATGTATATTTTATACATTATGTAATCATAAATCTCTCCTCACTATAGTTTAACACTTTACAAAACTATATACACTAAAGCCATCTTTGTATCGTCTACAACGCTAGCTAGCAACATTTTCCTTTTCCTTTCATCTCTATATAACATGTTCTTTATATACATATATATATATATATATATATATATATATATATATATATATATAT